ATTTTCGGAGTTTTATTTGTTGTTTAGATCCTACAGGGTTCTTCAAATTCTTATTTTTTTCTATTTTTTTTCTTTGAAAGTCTTATATAGCTATACATTTATATTTATTTATAATGTTGAAGTTGAAGGTTGTTTTCAATATTGTAATGTCGGAAACAAATACTCCAAGGAGGATCACAAGAGGTACATACTATCCCGATAATTGCATGGTTGGAATATCCTCGTTTGATTTGTGTATAACTCAAATGCAATCACAAATTTCAAGCTCCATTGTTGCGATGGAGATAGAGAAGAAATCGAAATTTCTTAATATCCCTATAAAATTGGATTTGAATGATGAATTAGTAAGGTCGGGTTCTTCTAAAAGGAAAGAAGGGTCAATAATGAAAGTGGATGAAACAAAAATTGACAAGAGGAGGAAAGTCAAACATGTTGTTTCGGGCATGATTGGAAATCATGTAGTTAATGAAGAACAAGAAGAAAGGAGTGAAGAAGAACTAGAGTTATGTATATTTTTTAATTTTTTTGGGATGTAGAATAAGTGTATACATATATACCTGCAGTGTACTGTAACTCGAACAAGAAAGGTTAGGTGGAGGATATACAATTTGAAACTGGAGTATCGGGAACTGAAAATTTTAGAGTATGTGCCTTTGTAGTACTTTGTCTTGGTTTCTTCGCTCATATTAATTTTTTGAGCTTAGTGGTAATGTTTATGTATATGCTAACCTCCTCAAACCCCACTTGTAAGACTTTAGTGGGGATGTTGTTATTATAGCTCTATATGAATATGAATGTTGAAGTGCTTCTTTTAACTGAACATGTAATCTTCTTTTGATATGAGCATTAGAAATTGCAAGTAATCTGGATGTAGGATTGTAGTTAGTGTTCAACTTGTAATGTATTCAACTTGCATGCAATGCTTATTGGTGTAACCATTTTGCATTATGTTCTGGCACATAAGATTTTTTCTGGTGCATAGTTTTACATAGTAGTTACATTTTAATAGAGCTTGGATTATTTTTTATTGTGTCATTTATATGTGGTTTAGGAGATCCTTAATGCAACTACTCGCGAAATATTAATGTACTTGTACATGTGATTGCTGTCTAGCATGCTATTCAATGGCTTTTCGTGTATGTTGTCAGTTGTAACTTGTAAGCAATATCATTCTAATGTACAGTAAGTCAAACAAGAAAGGTTACCAATGTATTATACTATGGCATACCTTTAGTGTGGCATACTTTCAAACATTGAATACCTTCTAGTGTATTTGGGGTTATGTTGTCATTCTATTTTTTTGAAAATGATTGTAGTTAAATGGTAGTTTACTGAATATGTGGATACTTTTCAGATTATTTTTTGCATCAAATTTATTTTGTGTCAATGCATCTTCTATTTGAATGTGTTGCCTTGTATGTATGCATAGAATTGGCGGTTGATATGGATTTGGGTATTCATCTGATATCAAATAAGAATTGGTTCTACTCTTTGTCTTATGATAAATAACTTCTGAATGATGAGGTAAAAATATGAATATATACGTAAAAGGTATTGTTCCTATTTATAAGATGTGCACATACATTTATTGATTATTTTTTTTGACAGCATATTGATGTGGTTTGATATTATTTGCGTAAAAAAAGTAAGTACAACATCAATAGTCGCTACAGATACACTATTGTTGACTGTCTGTTCAATTCAAAAATTGCTGAAATTTATGCCACATATGCTCAAGTTGGAAGCGAAATATGTGTTGCAATGTTGAAAGCATACATGATTACATAAATGGGTATAGGTGAACCAGGGTACGTCTTAATTATCCAAGGCATACAAGTATCCAGGTAGCTTCCCATAAGACGCATCTGGTTGCTTCATTATCGATTCTAATGCCTTCTCTTTTTCTCGCCATGCCAGCATGTAGTTAATATCAATACCCAAGTCCAATCTAACTTCATCCCTGATATCATTTGGAGTGTACTTTCGCTTGTGATTTCTAAATTTAGGTGCGATTATTCCTCCAATCAATCCACTTGTTGCACAACAATCTGAATGCACCCCATCCTTTAAAGGACATGTATGTTCAGAGTTAAAAACTCTAATTCTGAACATCTTCTACTTGTTAATACTTGACGCTTTCATCAACTATGTGCATTCTTTAGATTGACATACAGGAGTATAGCTGCGAATACAATTTATATTTTTTTGTTAGTTTTGCTTTGCATCTGCAAACATAACTCAATACACTTAAAATGAAACAAATTTAACAACAATTTACCTAATAGAGTCTGACCTCTCCACCAAGAATTTAAACCTTTTTTCTATTGAATACTTTTCCATCACATCCTTCAATGTCGACTTATCCATGTATATCTGATCCACCATTATCTCCTTTTGCGATATGTTCGTAATTATTAAATTATTTCCACCATCAAATGCATCTACTGGTTGATTGCCAAACGTTGGGACAATTGGTAATGTATCATTCGTACCAATTAATTCTTGATTGTATTCAAGTTGCAACACATCACCTTCAATAGAAGTTTCTCCAAATTGAGTGTTGATCTTTTTCAACTGAACATATACGCGCACACCCATGTCGTTACGTATTTCCATAGGCGTGTCGTTACCTTCGACA